AAATATAATTTCAGTTGAAATATTTCTTATTGATATGAAGAGGACAAAGAATAAAATCAGAAACAGCAATAAATTAATTTTATAAATATATATTTATATTAAATTCAAGAAATAACACTAATACAAAGGTGAAAATCTCTATCCATTTTAGAATAATGCTAAAATTGAGTTACTTATAACTAGCAAACTTACTATAAAATGTTATGAAAAGTAGATCATTTTAATCAGGATTTCTATGAATAATAAGCATCGAGCTGTTAATACAAACAACTAAAATTTAGTGCCAAAATATGTCATTATAATAAACCTTTAAAGCTATGTGTAGACCACGCATAGTGTCTTGGGAGACTTTCTGTCAGGTGCTCGCTGCCTCTGGCTTCTTGAGGAGAGACAGGTATGAAAGGCTCCATGTGCTTGTGGCTTTCGTTTTGTGCCAGGAGAGGGTCATCAGCAGAGCAGACTTGACAGATGAACTGTGGGTCCCTGGCCCAGAGTTTGCTCGCATTTTTCTGTTTTTTCATTGTTTTTGTTCAAACATTCTTGCAGATCGTATAGCCCTGGTGTGTCCACTTGCCCTACAGTGGTGACTTGTGTTTACTGTGAAGCTGAACACTGACACTGATGTGCCAAACGCATTAATGGTTACCCATGGTGGACAGTGTTTGGTGGTGCTCCCCGATTAAAACAAGCTTGGAAGGAGGAGTGGCATCCTCTTCCATAATAGCTTGTCTCTGGTAACTATATAAACCTGGTGAGAGGATGAAATTCACACAAGTGTTGAGGACTTTCCTCAACTTCCGTAGTGTCGCTTTGAGTCACCTATGACTCAAAGGCACTTAACAACAGTAACAGCAGTAACAACAATATTAGTAATGAGACTAGCAAAGATTACTAGCAGTAGAACTTAGAGCTTCCATATTATAAAAGAAAAAGTCTAAAAGGGCAATAGTGAAGTTAACAATTATATCTAGTATTCATTTTTCTAACAGCCAGGTTTTCTTGTGGCAGTAATTATTTTTTAAAAAATACAATAACTGTGCCCTGAAAGCTTAATATTATTTGCAAAAAATATAAATCATAAAGATACTGTAAGTAAGATATACAAGAAGACATTTTAGCCTCAGTGGTTAAGGGCTTGGCTGCTAGCCCAAAGGCTGATAGTTCAAAAACACCAACTTCTTAGTAGGAGAAAAATGTGGAACAGTTCTCCCCTAAGGATTAAAACCTTGGGAACACTTTTGGGGAATTCTAATCTGTCCTAGAAAGTTGCTTTGAGTCAGGATTAATTGCACAAGGAATTATTTTCTTAGGTAATACAATGTTAGCGAATGAAACTTTGATCAGAGATATATAAAAAAAAAAGTCAAGCTGTGTAAACTCTATAAACTTCATACTAGATTGATTTCAGTTCGACTCTAACTTTTCTAATGTCCAAATGAAATGAGAAGTCTTATCAATTTTATAATTTACAATGTCTATAATAAAAGCAAGTCTATTTACTCAGGAGAAGTGCAAGTATTTTTACTACTAAAACAAGAAAGAAATTCCTCCCTGGAGCCATCATAAACAGGACGCTATAAAAATATAATGAAACATGTCTTGAACAATATCTTTATGACAGATGCCCAAAGAGTTTCATAAAGCTGTTTTTATTATATTCTTCAACATACACTGACTGCCCAGTTATATAACGGAGTGTATTTTAATGAAGGGATACTTTTATTAACACGAAACATATATGAAGAAAAATATTTCAAAATTCCATGATAAACTTCTTTAACTTAGTGTAGTTTTACAAAAGTATTTGGTAGTAAGCATCGGATCTTGGAAAATTTGATTATTCTATTCAGTAAATTTTGTGGTTTTTATAGGCTGTTGTTGCTGTTATATGTCATTGAGTCCCGACTGACTCATTGCTGATCCTCAAGCAGCTTTTAAGCAGCTGCCAATCACATGGAAAGAGATTACCCCTCTACCTCCCACAGAGCAGTTGGCTGATATGAACCATGGAACTTCAGATTGGCAGTGCAACTCCTTACCACTGAGTCAGCACATCTCCCTGAATAGTTACTATTACCTGAACTGTTGAGTTGTAACTGACTCATACATAGCTGACCCTGAAGCAGGTTTTCACAGGCAGTAAATTGAAAAGAGCTGGTAACTCCTCTTTTGCCTGTGGAACAGCTGGTGGTTTTGGATTTCTTCCTTCCTTCCTTCCTTCCTTCCTTCCTTCCTTCCTTCCTTCCTTCCTTCCTT